TTTCATAGCAATTTTATATTCAATGAATCAAATTGATGTAAATCAATTGATTAAATGTTTCACGGTTAAGCCACCATTGATAAAAAGTACCATGTGAGGTAACATGGAAAAAAAAAACAGAGACTTAGGAACATACAGGAAGTAATACATGCGAATAGATAAAAAGTAGGAGGATAAAGGGAGACATGAAATAAAAGGGAAATGAAAGATGCGTGCAAGAATAGATAATATATTCTATGCATAGAAGAAACAATGTAAAAGTACATAAAACAATCGATGAACGGAACTGCGGCACAACGATGACGTCATAGACTCTGCCGAGACGACGTCATAACCAGTTGGGGTAGATGCGCATCGACGGTGGGGTAGCAACTAAGCTGGGTCAACTTGGTAAAGGTATGGACGTCGACATCGACAACGCCAAGGCCGAACCTCGTTGCTTGGGTGTTAAAGGGAAGCGTTCGATATTACAGGGTGTATTTTTTTACCTTGTTTACGATGCTTATAGATAAGTTCAGCTGGCCATTGGATATTTCCTCGTCGTGCCTGACCTACACTTTTTAATCTTTCACTTCTGCAATCTGATGAAAATATCCTTGTCAATGGTACTTGAAACTTTTTTGTCATTTAGTTTTTTTCAAGCAATACCAGTGTCTGATGTGATAATACAACCTAAAGAAAAGTAGAGACAAAAATGATAGAAAGATTTCAAATGATTTAAACACGAAAAGTTCAATGACTATGTGGTGTTGATATTAAGTTAAAGTTAATATGAAAATTAATTTACTTACAAGTGTAAATGAACGGAACTAGGGGCTAGTTTTGGTCGAGGCAAGTGAGTGTTGTCTTATGAAGAACCTGTTCTTTAACTCACCACAGTCATTTTATTGCACACTTATGTACTTGTACCCTGTTTCCGTATATCAGAATCAAGCGTGATTGTGTATATATGTAACGCTTACCCACGCGGTTTACTGATAGAAGAACAGGTTGGTGGACACCGGGAAACCGGTACCCACTTTCCTCAGTACATATTCATACACATATAAATATAATTGTCCTGCAAATAGCAGCGGGTGGTAACCACGTGATCGCCATCAAACTTTAATCTCTGCACACCACTGTAGCTTACAATCTGTTAATGCTCTAGCTAGAATGTTTTATACCCTATAAACACAAAATATTCCTGTCAATAACTAGTTAATTGCCTCCATTATCAAAATTACCATTGACACTTATTATTTATAATTACATAAAAGATTTAACTGGGTCATGTTTTTCTTACTGAACTAATTCTAAAAATAATTAATGTATTTTGACAAAAAAATGATTAGATTTTGATATTCGTAAAATAAATTTTTGTATAAAAGATTTGAAACAGGTCAATTTTATAATTCAAATTTAACAATGGAGTTTTTTTTCATAGAGAATCTGATGAAATGTTGATGATTACAGGCCTTCAACTCATTAAATATTTAGAAACTATATTGACCCAGCTTCTTTTAACTACTACATAGTTATTATAAATTTTTGGTCCAAATGCACGGGCTCTAATGTCTTTTTTATAAAATTATCCATGACTTTCTATGCTTAGCTACATCTATTTAATACATAATACCTTATAGAATTATTCATTAACCTAGGCATCAAAATGAATAATTTAATATTCAAACTATTTTGGTGATTATTCAAAAAATTCTTCATATGTATAATATTCAAAATCTCGTAAATTTATAAATCAAAGTACTTTATCTTCAGCTTACAAGCTCACGGGATAACTTGAAAGCCCTTTCAATTGAAGATGTTCAAATCCACATCTTTATTCACTGAGGGTAATATACTCCTGATCAATGAAGCTTTCGAATTCATTCAACATAAAAACTGTTTACCTTTTGAGCAGCTTTCCTTGAATGATAATAAGGAAAAAATCAATTTTTAACAATCAGGTTTAGATCAAGATAACAAATTAAAAAATGAGAAACTAAGGGTCAAAGTTTTTTATAGTTGTATGAAGTTTTTAATGACTTGAATAATCGATCAAAAGAGCCCACAAATTTCACTTTGATGTTGAAGAAAAGAAAGGTCTTGTGAAGAAAGGGCTGTATATGTAGCACATCAAGATGTAGCTTCTAACGATTACCTAAATTGGATATAATCAATTCTATGCATTCACTTTTGGAAATAAATTCCAAAAGTGTCTGAATAAATTAGGAATATTCAATTCATTTAAAATGCATTTAGAGAAGATGATGTTTAGAGTTAAAAAATGATAAAAGTGATTGGACAGTCGTTAAAGTAGGACTATGCTAGACACTAATTGGGAGAGTTCGATGCTCGTGTCTCTCTGCTTCTCTCAGGTTGCTCATCGAATGTTAAAAATGTTCGTGGTGGTGACACACAGACAGAAAGAGAAAAAGAGGTATAAAGAAGAGGCCAATGTGCTATCTTTAAATGACTATTATAGATGACCTGCAACTGGCCTGGTCATTCGGTCTCGACAATATTCAAATACTAATCGATACCATAAAGTCTCGAGGCTACTGCAAAAACTAAATAAAAAGTATCAAATCCTATTTTAATACAAATAGAGATGAATAATTATTTAAATGTTGTTTAATATCTAATGAGTTTCTGCCTAGTCTGATGGTAGATTCTCTTCCTTGTGTTTGGGATCGATTACACGACCCGATGTAAGTACAAATAAATCTCAGGAGTGGAGAGTCGTCGACTAGATCCACGCTCGACCAGGTGCTCGTGTAATCTATAGATGTATACGCTCTTAGATACGTAACCTATAGAGCGCACGTGAAGAGAGTGCGCTGAGTAAAGAGACTCGGTCTCACGGTAGTACAATATCGTAAGTAACTTACGCCGAGGTCAGAGGGCACAGACCTACATATCCGCGTCGCATTCAACGGTCGCTTCTAAAGCCTATCTCAACTAGTCTTTTTTACTCTCGCTTCTGCCTCGAGATCGTTCTCAAATCGGTCCTCTTTATAGTCTTCTTTATTTATATGACAATGTAAATTCTTGTCTTCAATAATTTCCTACTCATTCTCTACAACCAGCACTTGGTTCAACCTAAAAAGATAAAGTCAACACTTACTTACATTCTTATAAATCATTGATTAAAGCTACAAAGAAATTCTCTTACTTAATCAAGTATTTGAAGAAGTGAAAATCTAAATGCATTGTAAACTAGTCGAAGCTTTCTTCACTTGTAGACTTGATTTTGTTAAGTTTGTGGGATATCTTGAATTCAACATCACCTCGTACGAACCAACCATCGCTCGAAGGCTGGCTACACGTGCGCAGCCACGTGGAGAGGCGTGGCTTCTTCACTGTTCCTTGTAGAAGGGAGTCCAGTGATGTTGACGATTTTATGCCGTCGTCTATTTAATTTGGCTTATCCATTCCGGATTTTTCTACTTCAGCTCTCTTATTAAATCTCACTAAATATTTTTATTGTCAGGTTTTCATTTGCTTTTCTCCTTTTTCAACTATTCGTCACACTGTCTAAATAAAACGACAATAGAATATAAAATTTCACACTAATTTATTACCCATGACTATTTGATTAGGAAGATTACTTGAAACCACCTCGCTTCATCTTCTAGTTATTTCTCTTGTGGTTATTATTATACTCTTTGCTTATAAATCAAATCATCGTTGACAATATGAATTTACCTTCGAATGGGTCAAAAATATCACTATCATTCGAATACATATATTTTCTTTTTCCTCTTTAATTGTCTTGCATTAAATAGACAAAGCAATTCTTGGTTTTAGATCATGTTCATGTTTCTCAATTGACACTCAAGTTTTGCTAATGATCTCGCAAAAGTGATCTACCAATAGAGAAACCAATGTTGGAAAAAGTGAAAAGAGGGTGTCGTAGTTGATATGGTTGCTTTCTCACAAGACATCACCACTATCAAAACCAGTGTTTTGAAATGCCAATGATTTTATGTCTCCCTTGAGATTATACAGGCCATAATGTAAGGGTTGCTGAGTGGGACAGTTTGTATATAGACGTGGATAGGATATCAGAAACTTTAGTTGACGTTGAAATTTACGGGCGAAATCACCACAAAATTGTTGATAGTCAGCAGTCTATACTTTGTGGATTATTATGAATTATTATTTAGAATTGAAGCAAAGACTGATAAAAAGTGATGCAACTGAAACAAATTATGCTAATAATTGTGATGATAACATATACATTTAATAAATTTGATGCGATGTAAAATGATTACTTACTTGATAATGTAAAAGAAATATAAAAGAATCTGTTTAAAAGATTGCGTGGAAGTTGCCTAAGAGATAAGCCAGTGAAAGTATATGCTTTAAAATTAAAATTGTTACACGCGACTTATTACTCCAATATCCAGTGGAAAAACCTGCAGTCAGACGATTAATAAAAAAAATGAAAATATTTATACATTCTTATTACCATAAATTTTTTATTCGATTTTTATTAAATTTATTGGTCGTCAATTTCTCTATTTTCTATTATTAACATCTTTTTTTATATGTATAAATGTCAAATTCAATTACCATAAATATTTTCGTCCATTTTATAATACTAAAAATCCGAGTAACCAACTCAAACTTTACTTATTCCCGAATAGTACAGCTATAGGTGCGAAAAGGATATGCTTCTTTAACTTCAGATATGATCGACATGGACCGTACGCAGTACAATAAATATTATGTTGACCAGTGTACGTATCAGTAAATGTGTGTGTGAGTGTGTTCATCCATATATTTTCATTTTTGTTCTTCTTTTCTTCATTAAATGTTTTCTAATTGCCTATTGATGATTATCTTTTCCATTCGTTATCGACATTCATTAAATTTCTTTTACTACTTCAATTTGCTTTGTACCCATTTATATACAATCCCAAATTAAACATTTAATTATATAATTAAATAATGTAATATTTTAAAAAATTTTATAAAATAAACACCGTAATAATAATTGTTTTTTCTCTTTATAGGGCAACTTCACACGTCTCCTGAAGAAGATTGTGAGAAAGGTTTTGCCAATCAACCAATCCCCTTAGACGTTTCTGTTAGTGAAGCTCCTCATCATCATCAGAATTCGCCTTCTGATCTTGCTGGCACTGATCGTGCAACAACAGCAATCACGACGACATCTACGAGTACAGGAACTGCTTTTACAGTCGCATCAAGCATGCTTTTATTGCAAACACAGGTAAATTGGCCAATCAATTAATATTATTATACAACATAATGTTTACAAAATTTAATTACAATGTAATTTTTTTACTAAATCATAAAAATTTCATCTTTGGTTGTTTATCAAAACCATAATCGTGTTCATACATTTAATGAAATACGTAAAAATGATTATTTAATGACTAATAAAATTTTTATTGCAATCAAGTATTAATTTGGTACTATAAAATAAAATGAATTACATGTAATGAAGTATAGGATAGAATATGAAATCACTGATGGATGTCGGAAAAAAAATATCCCTTAGGAACGATGAGTTAAATGTCAAAGCTCTATAAAGTTGGTATACCCACCCCTTTTATCACACTTATACTGCTTAACATTTATCACTTATTTATCCTTTTGCAAATAAGAAAAAGTGTACTGTCATCATAATCGTATATTTTCGTATCGATTCTGACAAAAAGTAAAAATTCGTGAACAACTACATAATTTATTTCTTACTTTACATTATTTTTGAGAATTCAACATACTTATATAACAAGATAATCACTATCTTATGAATAAGATCTATTAACTTTAAATTATTTTCTTGATAATTCAGTTATAGCCGGTTGACTATCTTTTTACTTGTCTATTTAATTTATTTCATTTATTTTTTGTTAATTACGATTATATGTTTCTTTTATACTCAGCTGTCACAACAGCCATGTATCATTCTACGCAAATAGAAAGTCGTTTCTACATTTGCTTTTATCTGAAATTTTTCTTTTAATTTTACAGAGTCCATTTGGATGCAGCAGCTTTGCAGATTTATTAAGCGCACCTTATGCCGATCCTACAGACACTGGAAGCTTACCTGACGAATTGGACCCATTTCCTGAACTTCAATTGAATAATTCTCAACCAGTACCTACCCAGGAAGATGCAACACAATCGAACATTCATCATCAGATGCAGCAACACCAGCGACCATTGTCTGGCGATTTGCAAACAGATTCAATGAGGTAAAAGGATACTCTGAGAACATTACTCTAATCTTCCTTAATCATTTCTTTACTCATTTAATATTTAATAACACAGTCCAACTCCTCTGCCAAGTTTTCAAGAGACTTATCCAGTCCACCAACGTTTCACACGTCAAGATCTACAAGGTTTGGGTTTAAAAATGGATGAAGAATGTTTCGATGCACTTCAGTACGCGTGTACGGATACACCATATAGTACTGAGTTTGCGGCAACAATTCCTCCTTATCATTCTCAACAACCGCAGCATCATCCACAACCCCAACAGCCACATCATTCTCAGCAAATATTGCATCATCATCATCAACAGCAGCTTTCTCACCATTCACATCATCGCCAAGACGGTCATCATCATCACCAAAATGTAAATAATAAATTTTAATTATTCTTTAAGATATATGTTTAAATTCACCGTTAGCGAATTTATTTATGTGGATATTTTTTTTTTTAAATATAGATACCACCGACGTTGACTCCGCCTCCAGTTACGGTACCAATTGCTACGACCACAATGGCGACTTCTTCATCTCCACCATCTCCTACTCAGCCAACTCCTCCACCTCCACCCCCACCGCCTCCACCACCAGGATATTTTTCTGCTGTATCTACAACTAATCCCACCGTGACAATGGCATCAACTCCAAATCTTCATCAAAACAATATATCTTATGCTAATGTACCTATAGCTTCAGTTTATGGACAAAATAATTTAATTGGTGTTGCACCGGTTTCCCTTGTATCCAATACTGGATCAAACGCTTTGGCAGGATCAACACGATCAAGACAATCTATGTTCCAAAGGTCTGATTCTACTAGCAGTGGAAGTAATCAAGAATCTCCTAAACCTTGTTCAAGCACCTCTGGTACATCTAGTGTCAGCTCTGCACCTTCCCCAGGTGGTACCGAACGTGCACCACCTAGTCCCAGTCAATTATGTGCAGTCTGCGGTGATACTGCTGCTTGTCAGCATTATGGAGTACGCACATGTGAAGGCTGTAAAGGTTTTTTCAAGAGAACTGTACAGAAGGGCTCCAAATATGTCTGTTTGGCAGAAAAATCCTGTCCTGTTGACAAACGTCGACGAAATCGATGTCAGTTTTGTCGTTTTCAAAAGTGCCTAATGGTCGGAATGGTTAAAGAGGTATGCATTCCGAAACTTGATCAAGTTATAGTTAATTAATATTGATAAATTAATTTTATAAAAATGTTTTTCAGGTTGTCAGAACTGATTCTCTTAAAGGTCGACGAGGACGGCTTCCCTCTAAGCCAAAATCTCCTCAAGAATCACCCCCAAGTCCACCCGTTGCACTCATCACCTCCTTAGTACGAGCACATCTCGATACTACTCCTGATCTTGCCAATTTGGATTATTCACAGTATCACGAGCCTGGGGTTTCTGCTCCTCTTGTGACTGATGCAGAAAAAGTTCAACAATTTTATAACCTTCTTGCAACTTCTGTCGATGTAATCCATAACTTTGCTGAAAAAATTCCTGGATTTACGGATTTAGTTAAAGAGGATCAGGTAAGTTTTTTCATTTCCATTCAAATCTTGGATAACTTTATAATTAGAATTTTTTTTAATTTTCAGGACCTTCTTTTCCAATCAGCAAGTCTTGAACTTTTCATTCTCAGACTGGCTTATCGCACAAAAGTTGAAGAGACCACTTTAACATTCTGCAATGGCGTTGTTCTTGCCAGACCTCAATGTTATCGATGCTTTGGAGAATGGTTGTATGGAATTCTTAAATTTTGCCAAGCTCTACATAGCGTCGAAATAGATGTCAGTGCATTTGCTTGTCTTTGTGCTCTCACCCTTGTTACAGGTAAAATAATAATGACAGCTGAATCTTATAGAACAATCTCATGATAATTTATCGTGATTACTTCAAAAAACTTTGTCTTGATATATTGTTGCTTTGGTATATTATTAATAATTTATTTATTGCTGAAAGCAATTACCTATTGACGTCGATAAGAGTGCACCTGCTTGTCAACTTAGAAATATTCTTGCACGCGATTACAAATCAATAGGCGTATACTTAAGAGTTCGTTCGCCTCACGTTAATCCAACTTTTTCATCAAATAAAATATTCCTGAAATATATCCACAATACATGTTAGATCATTTATCTGTATAAATATGAATACTTTATCAATATATTAATTTTAATTATTAATTATTTCAGATAGATACGGTTTAAAAGAACCTCACCGAGTAGAAGAATTACAAATGAAGATTGTGACATCTCTTCGAGATCACGTAACTTACAATGCAGAAGCCCAACGAAAAACACAGTACCTGTCCCATCTCCTCAGCAAACTCCCAGACCTCAGGAGCCTTGCTGCACAAGGTCTTCAGCGAATTTTTTACCTTAAGTTGGAAAACCTAGCACCAATGCCACCGCTGATTGAGACATTATTCGTTAGTAGTATGCCCTATTAAAATTTTAATTACTTTTAAGTAACACTAATCATAATTAATCATAATTATAATTATCGTAAAAAAAGACAAATTTCCGTTTCTAGAAAATGTCTTTCTGGCGTTTTATAAGGAACGGAGTAATAATTGTGCAACATATCAGAATAGCGAAGAAGAATTAATTAATAAAAAGAAAATTTTACGATAAATATTTTTATCTTTCTCACGATATTATTCTTGATGTTTTTCAAATCACAACGAGGCACAAATTAAGTAAATATCACTAATATAATATTAATCGTTGAGTGAGATATAATTTAGAGTATATTAATTAATTAATATAATAAATAAATAATGAAATCGACCTTTCGAGACCTTATATATCTATGTCGATGTGATTTTAGAATTTTAAGAAATAAATAGCACCGTCTCGTTTCACGATATTGCCCGCCAGATTCTATTTTAGACATAAAAAACCAATCGAAACTAATAATAATTAGAGTAATTATGTACTAATTTTATTAAACGGTTTTTAATAAAAATCTGGTGAACAAAGAGATATAAACGGGAACCGAGACGATGCTAAACAGAAGTTACCTTATTATGATATTAATTTTAATACATAAATCAACAAAAGAAAATTAAATGATAAATTATCTTTATACATATATATTTTGCGCTACTGTTTACTACCACTGTTTATAATTGTTGCTATGAAATCATTTATTTCAATTTATATTGATTGATATAATAATATATTATAATATTATTTTATTAAATAATAATATGCCTATCAGCTGTAATAGCTATTATTAATTATAATCCCAATAATACAAAAAAACTAATTGCTATTAATTACGTCAACTACAATATTTATAAACTCGTTGATCGTGCCTCTTAGCTATTTTATTACTATCTATTGTCTATTACGATTATTACTATGATTGTCAATTACTCATATAATTATCAGTTATAATTGTACATTTTTGATGGACTCTGGTTTTATGTTCTTTTTACCATAATTCAAGTACAAAAATACAGCTTAGATTATTGATAAACTTCGTTATTAAATTGTAATAGTGGCTCTTAAACACACTCATCAATTTTTCTCATCATTTTTTTTAAAATTTGATCAAAAATTTTTTAAAAAACTGAGTTCACAGATGACAAAATAATAGAATGCATAAAATATATGTTCATTATATGCCTGTATCATGCTAAACATACACAGTAACATAGACCTGCAAAAAAGTCGTTTTATCAATGAAAAATACTATCTCAATTATTTGTTTAATAATTTATTCAAATTTTTTATATTAAGCATATAAAATGAATTTGTACATTCATAATTGTCTATGTCGTAATTGAATAATTAGGTTTCTGTGTCCATATTTTGAGATGTTTAAATTCATAAAATATATTCATGTTTGACTTATAAACAAAATATCGCAGGCTTGTGTTATAAATCATGTTATATAATTTTATAGTAATATTTTATACATTTTTTCCTAATTATTCATCATTATTTATAGTAAAAAATAGATAAAAAATTTAAAAAAAATAATAAAAAACTATAAAATTTTATGTGTATTCTTCTGTATTATAAGAAAATTTACTTGATTTAAATGTCAATGGCCTCAGATATATTTTAAATAGTCCATCATTATTTATATGGAATTATTAAATACTTATTAGTAATTATTATAAATCATGAAATCGGCCAGTAGTAAATGATGACAACAATTATATACGCGTCTAAGAATTTTCTGAAAGAAATAGAAAATATCAGAGTGTGTTTTAATCAGTAAAAAAAGAAAATAATAATAATAATAATTATTATTATTATAATTATTATGCCAAAAGCACGTCCATCTTTTTAAGCTTTTTACTATATTACTACTAGTTATTTCACACGCACAGATTATAAGAAATACCTTTGTGAATTACATTTATTTATGTTAGTAATGTTGTTTTTTTTAAAAAATTTTATTTGATATAAGTATTGTGTTGCAAATAATCAATAATTTAAATTTTAGTACTGTAAAATAAATGTTATATAAAAGAACAAAATGATAGCAATAGACTTATTGAGAATAATTATTGATGTAGATGCTGGTCCACAAGCTTCATAAAATAAGGAGAGAAAAACAGAAAAACTAAATAATTTTTTTTTCTTTATATACATATTGTATATCCTTTATAGTAGTTTGTAAAAGATGATGTTAAATGTAAAGCCTATTGTTCAAATATTTTGGAGAAATATCACAATTCCTATTTTCAAAAAGTACATTAAAATAAAAAAATATACAATTCTTATACTATTAATATGAAAAAAATATTAACATAAGTATTTTCGATTTGCAAGTGATTAATGATAAAGATCTTGATACGGCGATTGTTATAAATATATTTTATAGAAAAAATTTAAGAAAAAAATATTGATATGTGATATAGATGATAAGGCACATGAAAGCCTGATGCATTGCTTATCAGAAAGATGTATTCTGGTATATGATTTAATTAAACTTAATTATAATTATAACTTTCAACAGTTTTTATTCACTATATCCTACTAGTTTATATAATTTAATAAATACACTACGGCATAAATAATATTACTATTGAGGAAATATTCGGTAATCAATAGTGGAATAAATTATTTAGGTCATTATTACATTGATTTATCAAATTTATTGTCAAAATTATTTACAATAAATTGGTTGACTCTTGTAACTGATTAATATAATTATAATAACAGAATTAGTTTTTAATTGTTAATATAATGACTATTGTATACTAAATTATATAAGTTCCAGAATAATATTTATTCAAACTTACTTTGGTTAGCTAAATCAAATTATGCTTATTTAAAATTTCTAAAATTTTTACCTTTTTTATTTGAACTAATATTGGTACCAAACTTCAACTGTAGACGTTTCCTGTAAAGAGAATTTTTCGTTACCATGATAAAATGTAATTTTGTTTTATAATTGAAACTTATTTTTCAGATTTAATATAAATGTCCAATTTGTACACTGAGAGAATACATATGTCAATGGAATCTCCCAAATCTAAAATCACATTTTATTTCCCATGAGCATGAACGTCTTCACAATCAGCGATCGATTTGAAAACTGCCTGTGTATCATGGATTTTTACAAAGTAAATAAAATACTTAAAATTCGCATACCTGTTCTTGCTATTTAAATTAATGATTAAGAGCTACCGAATTGATAATTTTCCAAATGAAATAGCAATTATTTAATCAATCCAACATTATTAACTGAAAAAGAAAAATATTTGATTATTTTTATCGTCAAAAATTGGTTTGATACAGTTTGTAATGAGAAGTTAGTACTTGGAGTTTAAAAATTACATATATGAAATAAATTTTGATAAAATAAACGTATGAGCAAAAAATAAATACATTAAAAAATTGTTGATAAAAATATTTTTTTGAAGGTATTTTAACCATTTTCAAAGAATAAGCGATGTAAGAAATATTTTTAGATTTATACCTTTATTGTAACGAAGCGTACAGTTAGAGCGTTCCTTGAAAAGAGAGTTATAGAATATGCGACTTCTCAGATATTCCCATGTACACAACACATCCGCTATATGATTGGTGAAAAAATTACAGGCAGAGATTGGATAACAATTGGCGGTAAAAATGCAAAATTTGAATCACTTTGAATCACTAGATTGAGTCTTTATTATATAATTCGTATTTAATACCTTTATATTTGATTGAAAAAACATTATTTTATATATATGTAAATATAAATTAATATTAATATTATTAATGGACTATTTTTTTTTAATTAAAAGAGAGAATTTTTAAAAATAGAGGGCAGTTTTGTTGATGTAAGGAAATCTAGGTTCCTAATAAAGGTTCTCATTTTACCTTCAAAAAGGTTCTCAACTTCTAAAAAAAATCGCACACTGGAAACCACATACAATGAATATTTCGCGGTTTTGTGCTGCGCATGTGCCCGGCGTGCGAAAAATAGTTCCAGTAAATAAATTTGTTGACTTTTCCGAACAATTGAATTTTATGCATAAAAAAGCATTAAAAATAATAATAATTTTTTTTTGATTTTCCATTTAATTTAAATTGACAAATAGATAGTATTAATAAGTAACAGAAAAATAAAATTATCTCATTCAGTAGAAATTGCGCTCTTTAACTTGCAAACACCAGCGCCATTGATGAAGAGCACTGAGTGGTTCCAGCGTTGGATAAACAAAGATATCAAATCCGAAGGTAACGACACCAACGAACTTGATCAAGATATTTCGCATTTTCGGCCGTTGTGTAAACCTGCCAGCATATCATCAGGAAGTAGGTGGTGGGGGATTGTCTCCGAGTGGTTCGAGAGCAATCAAAGCCAGTGGATACGGTGGCTACATGTGGATATCCGCCGGTCGTTTCATTTTTAAACGAATTGCGATTTCCTAACGCTCAACATATCCAATAAAAAAACGCAGTGTTAACTCTAATTACTATTATTTTAAATACGAGTGTGCACAATAAATTTATCATCCAAACATGCAGATGGATCAGATGACAATGCAATTGATGCAGGTCCTCGAAAAGACCGTATCGCAAGGTGAGGCATCATTTTTCCACTCTCATTACTTGGCCCGCATGAGAATCGACTAGAATCTACCATTGTTCTTGTTTTATGACAAGTTTTCCACTTTTAACCTAACATTTTTAACACTTTTTACTTCTAAATTATATTATTACATTCTTTATTAATTACATCTACTTCTTGTCAAGGGCATGTGCTTAGAAATCAAATGATAGCTTTCACATTTTTTTCCGTTGACTCTTGATCATGCGTCACGCTGTGATGCAAACGATTGCAATTTCAACTACGAAATTTGACAAAAAAGTATACTTCGCCTCGTATTATTTACATTAAATAATTAGTTTTTATGTATAAATCATAAATAGCTCATTAATTTATCATTATAATTTAGAGCTAATCTTGTTGCTAAGGGGCTCCAAAAATTCGTTGATTGTTCTCAATGAAAATCAGTAATATTATTTTGTTTCACAGATAAAAATGAGCTAGAGGCAGCACAAAGTTTTTTAGAGCAGGCAGCTCTTACGAACATTGTAAGCATTTCATTTGTTTACATAAATTTTATCTTTTATTTATTTATAATAAATTAAAAGTTTCATTCTTTTTAATTTTTTTTTTCAGCATGAATTCGTACAAAGGCTCAGTGGAGTATTGGCTACTTCTGCCGCCAGTACGATAGCGCGTATGGCTGCTGGTCTTCAGTTAAAAAATCAACTTACATCCAAAGATCATACCGTCAAAACCCACTATCAACAAAGATGGCTTGCCATTCCAGCAGAATCTAGAAGTTATATAAAGAAAAATGTAAACTATAATAAATTAAATTGATATTTTATTGTTTTATTGCTATCAATAAAGTTAGGGCTGAATTAAACAAATAATTTGAATATTGCTGGAAATTTTAATTGAATCTAAACTAAACATATTAAAAGATCATCAATGAAATAATAAGAATTATTTATTTATTTATTTGTAGATTTTAGCAGCACTTGGAACAGAAAACAATCGGCCAAGCTCAGCAGCACAATGTGTAGCTTACGTTGCAGTAGCAGAATTACCTGTTGGTCAATGGACCGAGTTAATTCCTTATTTGGTGAACAATATTACAGATCCAAATGGTACAGAAATGATGAAAGAAGCTACATTAGAAGCTATTGGTTACATATGTCAAGAAATTGAAAGTGAAGTTTTAGTAGCTCAATCAAATCAAATTCTCACTGCTATTATTCATGGAATGAAAGGTTCGAGCACATCAAATCACGTCAAACTTGCAGCTACTCGAGCTCTTTATAATTCTCTTGAATTCACCAAAGGAAACTTTGAAATAGAGGTAAACATGACAAAAAGATTATGTGTGATAATTACACATAGTGTGATCACTAGTGTTATCAAAAAAATCAATCCTCTTTATTTTTTTACAGTCTGAAAGAAATTTTATTATGGAAGTTGTGTGTGAAACAACACAATCTACTAACACACAGATTCGAGTGGCCGCTCTTCAGTGCCTTGTGAAAATCATGTCATTGTACTATCAATTTATGGAACCTTACATGGGCCCAGCATTATTCCCTGTAAGTTTCTAGTTATCTAAAGCAATATAATAGAAATAGTCAAAATAATATAATTTTTTGCTTTACAGATAACACTAGAAGCAATGAAATCAGATGTCGATGAGGTTGCTTTACAAGGTATTGAATTTTGGTCTAATGTGGCTGAAGAAGAAGTAGATTTGTCAATGGAAGAAGGAGAAGCCACCGAAGGAGGTCGTCCACCATCTAAAGTTTCTCGACATTATGCCAAAGGTGCACTAGTGTATTTGGTACCAGTATTAATCCAGAAATTGACAAAACAAGAAGAGTTTGATGACGAAGATGACTGGAATCCTTTGAAAGCTGCTGGTGTTTGTTTGATGCTTCTAGCTTCATGTTGTGAAGAGGGTATTGTGCCTCACGTTCTTCCATTCGTCAATGAAAATATTGAAAATCCTGACTGGAGATACAGAGATGCAGCTCTGATGGCGTTTGGTTCAATTCTTGGAGGATTAGAGCCAACAACTTTGAGGCCTCTTATTGAGCAAGCCATGCCAACATTAATACAACTTATGTATGATGTAAGTGTTGTAGTAAGAGACACAGCAGCTTGGACATTTGGTAGAATTTGTGAAATAATTCCTGAAGCAGCAATAAATGAAACATACTTAAAGCCATTGCTAGAATCATTAGCTAATGGATTAAATGCTGAACCTAGAGTTGCTGCGAATGTTTGTTGGGCATTCACAGGCTTGGCTGAAGCAAGTTATGAAGCAGCTGAAGCTGAAGATGGCCAACAACCTGAAACTTATTGTATGTCAGTCTTTTTTGATTATATCGTGCAAAAGCTTCTTGAAACTACAGATCGTCCAGATGGTGCGCAGGCGAACCTTCGATCTGCTGCTTATGAAGCTTTGATGGAGATGGTCAAGAATTCACCAAGAGATTGTTATGTAACCGTTCAAAAAACAACAATGGTAATATTGGAAAGACTCCAGCAAGTTTTACAAATGGAAAGTCATATTCAAAATCATTCAGAAAGAGCACAATATCATGATTTGCAGTCACTACTTTGCGCAACACTTCAATCAGTCCTCAGAAAAGTTACTCCTGAAGATGCTCCTCGAATTTCTGATGCTATAATGACAGCTTTATTATCTATGTTTAACTCTAACTCTGGTAAAGTGGGTGGAGTTCAAGAAGATGCTCTTATGGCAGTATCAACATTAGTTGAGGGTCTTGGAGAAGGTTTCCTGAAATATATGGATGCATTTAAACCATTTTTATGCATGGGTTTAAAGAATCATACAGAGTATCAAGTTTGTGGAGCAGCAGTTGGTCTAACTGGTGACATTTGTCGTGCTTTAAAGAATAAAGTTTTACCATATTGTGATGACATTATCACCTTATTACTAGAAAATTTGAGAAACAATACTGTTCATCGATCAGTAAAGCCACAAATTCTTTCCGTCTTTGGAGATGTTGCTTTGAGCATTGGACCTGAATTTAAAAAATACTTGGAAGTAGTATTACAAACTCTTGCTGAAGCTTCTCAAACAGATGTTGATCGAAATGATTTCGACATGATTGATTATCTCAATGAATTAAGAGTAGGCGTATTAGAAGCCTATACTGGAATTATTCAAGGTTTCCGTGGAGAAGGTGAAATCACAGGCGTTCCTAATCCAGATGTTGCTCTCGTTGAGCCACAGGTGCCGTTTATCATCCAATTTATCACAACAATAGCCCAAGATCGTGAGCATTCTGATGAAAGCATGTGTGCTGCTATTGGTTTACTTGGAGATCTTGTTGTAGTCTTTGGAACAAAACTTTTACCTCTCGTAGAAACTGAACCACTTACTGAACTGCTTACCAAAGGCAGAAGAGCACGTAGTAATAAAGCTCGAGCACTTGCTACTTGGGTTACTAAAGAGATCCGAAAACTTAAGAATGCTGTTAACTCTACGTCAAGTTGGTAAGTCACTAAATAAGCTTTTATTTTTACATGACAATGATGATGGTGATGATGTTGTTGTGAAAGAGAGTGAACGTTGTTGTTTCTCTTTATTTTATAAAAGTATAAAGAAAGTTTAATACAATGTTTAAGTTTATTGTATGCTTCTAAATTATTATAAAAAAATTTTATTACCCTAACGTGTAACTTTCGTTGCTCTCAATGTCGACAAATTCGTGTTTTACGAAGACTAATATACAAACCAAGTTATTAAAAGAACTAAAATTTTTCTGCTATCGGAATGAAAATTAAAAATATAATCGTTAATTACATTTGGCCCGCTTTTGTTGTTTGCAGATCACCCCATGATTGTACTCTCGTGCGAATTGATTTCACTAGAAAGCTATCGAACACAATACAAAGACAACAAGATTGGATGGTGCGGATGCGAGTAGATGGATGTGCGTGAGTCCCAATATTAAAAATTATGAGGATGACAATGATGACGAGATGATGAGCGATGATTTGATGGTGATGATGATAAAATGATGAGTCTGCACGTGTTCTTCCTGGCTTTGACGCTACCCCCCCGGTATGTACGTCAACAACATCAGTAAAAGTCGACGGTGAGAAAAATATTGCCGGGTAAGCTGCGTCTGCCGGATTGGATGTCCGAAGAAGGATGAAGAAAGAGTGCAAGTGGATATGTTGCCAAATAATGAATGTTGTAACAAGAAACAAGAGTCTAAAAGGTTCGGTGATAAGAGTGTGCCTGAAAATTGAATTATAAAACTGATTATTAAAAAAACAAAAAAAATACAAAGCCACACAGCTCATTGTCGTGGTGCCATGTGATTGATTGTTAGTGTAAACGATTGAGCATGTTAGCGTTGTTTTTTTGCAAGAATTTAGATTAGTACAAATCATTCATGAATGAAATGTGCGACTGATTACTAAGATTTATTCAGGATTGATTGATAAATATAAGAAAATAATAATATTATCATATTTTTTTTAAATCATTACTATTACATTTGATGATAGATAGCCATTTAGATATATTATTTGTCTGATAGATCATCAACGAATAATTAATGCTCTTATTACTTATAATGTTTCTAATGTTCATAAAATTTTAATTTTTCACACAATCGCATTGAGTGCGAGTGTAATGAATGGATAAAATTTATCTATAATGAATAAGAAGTATATGTGATTTTTATGCATGAATATAAGTTGTTTGCGTGAATGTAAGTGAGAAAAAAGCTAATGAGTACTTGAGAATGGAACACGTGCGTATAAGTGAAGTTTACTAAAAGTTATAAATGTTTGAGGTATACATGTTATGATTTTTTCTTGCGAATGTGAATGTCTGTTACTGTTGATTCATTAAAATTAATCTTTTGCTGAAATGATTTGAGTTTTACACAAAAAAAATAACTGTACTTCTCCTTGTTGAACCAATTTAAGTGAATTTATTTTGCTTTTTAATCCCAACTAACGTTCCATATGCAAAAAGAAATCCTCTTAAAGTTCCTGTATTTTATTTATTTATTTTTAGACATTTTTACTATTATAAAACAAAAAAGTCTGTAGTTAAAATATTTTTCATTCAGTCTGTGATTGTATGTTTTTAGACAATCGTGCGTGGTCTCAACGAAAGTACCTTGAATAAATGGGCTAGTGATTTAATTAATCTTTTTAATAAACGTAAGTGTAATCAATTGAAAGAGAGAAAGAGACTGCGTGTCTGTGCGTGCTAGTATTAACTGGCAATTATACGCATAGTGGAGTAAAATATTTTAATTAAATATGACAAATACTAAATTTTCTCTTCATATTTATTAAATCTTGAATTTTGTACTCCGTATCCATGTAAAATGCGGTTTAAATTCTGGAAAATATTTATCAAAATATTATAAAAGGGAGAAGAGAAAAATAAGCGAAAAAACAAAATAACTTGAATATTTGTCGAAATTAAACATTTTGACGCTTGTACATTTTATTATATTTTTTGTGTCAGAGGATAAACGTGACAATTCTGCATGAAAAAAAAAGATTGAAGAATGAAAAAAAAACGAGAGAAAGTAAGAGAGAGGAAATAATTATAATAATGAATTAATGATATTTGATGCTGATGTTTGCAAATGCGAATGCCTGCATAAAAGTTCGATTCAATGATGTACCTGTGGATATGAGAAATTGAGTGAAAAAAATGGTAAGACAAAGAAAAGAAAATACGAATAAATGAGGATACGAATACTGTCATGGAATGGCAATAATTTCAAAAATTTCGTAAACTTTTTAGGTTTACAGATTGAAGCAAATAGCTGCAAGTGAATTTAATTAATTTTGATGCCTCTTATTTATTCTCTAGATAGAATTCCATGTAACGAATAACATACTCCGTGTCATTGGTGTCCTCAATCCTCTTCTAAGTACCTTTAACCCAATTGAATTACCCCCAACAATACATTCGTACGATTACTTCGTCATTATTCATCCCCCAACACTTTTTTTACTCATTATGTCTAGAGTGAAACAACAAACCATCAAGTGACTTCTACTCAAATCTTATTGTTAAACAATATTAATTATTGATTATTATTTAATCTTCAAGGTCAACCAGTGTCCTTAGCATTAAATAATTTTTTAAAAATCAATATAAAGTATAATATTGATCATGAAAACAATCAGGTGATGTTATTTTGTAGTTTATTACTGTGGTAATCATTTTGGTTTGCTTCAAGAAAAGATAAATTCAAGTATGTATGGATCTGATGATAATCCCTCTCCAGCCAACTCGCAACCAACAGGAAAAGTACATGATGACGATGTGAGTGTTTCTTGTATGTGTGATTATAAGAATGAAGGAATCTTGGCTTTGAATAATCATATCTTTATTAATAGCACTTAGAGACCTTCAAAGTAAAAAAATACCTTGTTAATATTCCGTAGGATGCTTTTGATCTTGATGACTTATTGCCGATTGTTGGAGAATTCGGTCGGTACCAGAAGCAACTGCTCTGGATGGTTTGTTTGCCAGCTTGTCTTCCATGTGGGTTTTGTGCCTTTAATCAACTCTTCATGGCCTCGACACCTCCTCACTGGTGCCGAGTGCCCGGTCTTGATGATCTGGATCCATTTCAAAGACGACGTCTTGCTATCCCGATTACTCATCAGGTGCAGCGTTTTCAAAGACAATGAATTTAAAAAAAAAATGATGACGCTTGTAAGATGTTACCCTCGAAAACGTCGTAGATTATCCTCGTAGGTACTTGTCTATTTGGAAACATTTCGTTTCAATATCATATTAGTTTTCATTTGAATAATAAATAAATTTGCGGCATTGAGAGTAGTAGACACATACTCGTGTTCTTTGAGATTTTTTTTCGCTTAATCTAGAATGAACGCCCTGCTGTCTGTATATCTTAGACGATTTGTGACCAGGGTGTGAATGGCTGAAGTTTGTAAACACTCATTTAAATGATGAAGCTGATTTTTGTCAAAGTAGGATGGAAACGAGACCGTCTACAGCCAATGTACAAGATATGAAGTCAATTGGTCGGATCCCACTGTTAGCTTGATGTACATTGATGCAAATGTCACCAATACTTCTTGGCCAATTATTCCTTGTGATCATGGATGGGAGTACGATATGTCAGTAATTGTCTCTTCTATTGTCATTGACGTAAGTTAATATACGTTTATTTTCTTTTGATTAATCATTTATTTTTTTTCTTTCATTTATTTACTCTTTATTTTAGTTCGATTTGGTTTGTGATAAAGATATTTATCCAACACTTGGTTTAGTGGCTTTAAATACTGGAGGACCTATTGGAGTTTATCTTTTTGGAAATCTAAATGACAGGTATTGTAATAAACAAAAATATGTAATTGTTATTATAATACTTTACTATTTTTCTTGGTGTTCTAATGTATCTTATTAAAAATAGAATTGGAAGAAAAATGTCATTTTTTTGCTGTTTGGCTACTCTAATTGTTGGCAGTATTCTTACATCAATTTCCCGTGATTTTTGGTCTTGGACTGTCTGTAGAACTGTTGTGGGTTTAACTATTCCAGCTATTTATCAAATTCCTTTTATTATTTGTAAGAATTAATTTATTTTTACTTAAAGCCTGGCTTATCTTTAATAATTAATAATTGAAGATTATATTCTTATTTATTACTAGCATTGGAACTTGTTGGTCCCAACTACAGATCGTTCGTGACAGTGATGACTTGTTCATTCTATACAATGGGACTTTGCATGTTAGCTGGTGTGACTTATTTGATCCCTGACTGGAGACACTTGGCTCTTGTCACGAGTATTCCATTTCTTATTTATTTTTTATACTGGTGGTAAGTTTAATACGTATAATTATTTTACACTAAATAATTGTACATTTCTTTATAAATATTTTTAGGTTCCTACCAGAATCTCCCCGCTGGCTCTTAGCTAAAGGTCGTCTAAGTGAAGCAAATGAAATCCTCCAAACTCTAGCTAAAGTAAATGGTAAAGAGCTACCAGGATTTTTCACCCAAAAACTCAAGCAGCGAATGACAATGTCACGGTCAAAGAGTGAAGAAGAGAGATTGAGAAGTGGGCCAGGAGTGTTAGCGCTCTTTAAAACGCCAAATATGCGATTAAAAACATGTCTTATAACATTAAATTGGTGATTATTATTAAAATTACAATAAAAAATAAAAAAAAAGTATATTTTTTGAATCAAAATATTTTTTTAGGTTTGCGAATAACATGGTTTATGTAGGGCTATCTTACTACGGACCAGCATTAGGGAATGAAGAACATTTGAGTTTTTTCTTTTCATCATTAGCAGAAATTCCAAGCTATCTGGCCTGTTGGATCGTAATGGATAGATGGGGTCGACGATGGCCTTTATGTTTATGCATGGTCACTGCAGGATTATCATGTGTCGCAACAGTACTTCTGCCTGATGGTAAGATAATCAAAACAATTGAAAAAATTTTTTTTTCATATTAAGAGCCATATTTCGATTGATATTTACAGATGCTGTGACAACAACATTGATTCTTTTTTTGCTATCTAAATCAGCAATATCGGCATCATTTTTAATTATTTATCCATTTGCCGGAGAATTATATCCAACACAGTTACGAGGTATCGCTATAGGATTTTCCGCATATATCAGTGGCCTTGGATTAATTATAATTCCATTTATAACGTATCTGGTGAGTGAATTAATTAATTTAATTATAAATAAATCTAACAATAAGTATTTAATGAGCTTAAATGGATTTATTAAAGTACAGAAGATGTAGTATCCTAAGAAAATTTCAATAAAATAGGAGAATCGACCAACACTTTAAATTACATAATTTTTTTTGTGAAATTTTTTAGGGTAGAGAAAATTTAGTTTTGCCTCTTGTCATTCTTGGAGCTGTTTCCGTTATTGGAGGATTGTCGGGACTCAGACTGCCAGAAACACTTCATCATCGACTGCCACAAACTGTGGAGGAAGGAGAACTCTTCGGAAAAGATTGGAAATTCACTGATTGTCTCAGTTGCCCCGTCAAGTACGATTTTACAAATTACTTTTTTACTTTATTCATTGGATAATTCTTTTTTAATTTGTTTGTTTTTTTTTTTTTTTTAATTTTTAGACCTTTAGCAGCAACATCATATGAAGATCTCACAGCAGGCGAGACAGTTGAAATGCAGTCAGTTCCCGAAGTGCCTGAAGTTGAACAAGAACCGTTAAGGACGCCTACTTCGAATGCAACTCGTAGATTGCTCCGTCAATCTAGTGTTATGGAGACCCAAAAAGATTCTGATGGTTCTATGAAGATGACGTATTGGTTTTGAATTATTATCACCTCAAAATAAAGTCAAGATTAATGAAAATATATCTTCTTTTATCAATTTTCCTTAGTGTTAAATCGATTTAATCCGTGTAGAATTTATTTCAAGATGGCACGTGACATCTAATTGGTATAGAAGGTCAAGAGAGGATGCTATCCGCATGGTTATGTGTGTGCATGAGTGAAAAGGTAGTCGCTTGGTTGTATTTCTTGGTTCCTTTTTTTTAAGTTTACAACCTGGTTGTTCTGTTGTAACAACTGAAGTTGAAAAAAAATTATTCTTTATTTTTATAATCAAATTTAATTCATATAAATGAGTATATAATATACCTCTGTAGGAGTCGACGTTTGAGTTCTGGAGGATAAGCGACATATATGTAATGATCTGGCATTGCTCCGGTAGCTATCAGTCTGTCATCACCTTCTTCAAATTTTCTTCTATCGTCCAATCGTCCATCACGCCCAGGATCATGAAGAGCTGACCGATCAGATCCATTATGAGAATCTAGATTGTCCTCGCTAAGATCCAAACAATCATCGTCTCCCGAACTATAGTATTAGTCGTTAAAAAATTTATTATTGTTCCATAAATCATTCGAATATTAAAAATAAGTATTAACCTGAGAAGAAGGGAGACGACGTAATAACATGCAGATATTCCAGATGAAAGAAGAAACAAAAAAGTAACGAGCAGGTACCACGGTGTGTGACGTTGATGTCTTTTAGTGTCTTCCCAATACCTGTCACAGCTCAAGTACCAACATATAGCTCGATTCATTTCATCTATTCAAATTTAATAAAATTATTGAATAAAAAATTCATATTCTATTTCAAAACTTCATAATATTAATATAAAAATAATTACTTTCTATTTCACGAAAGTCTTTTACTGAAAGATTTGCCAAAAGACCGCCAATACAATCTCTTACTAACATCTGAAAAACATATTATAAATATTTTAATATAAAATTTTCAATGAATAGATTTACGAATAAAATAAAGAAAGAACATATACCTCACATTGAACTTTGAGTTTCTGTAATTCTTCAGGGTTACAATTAGATTTGAGTCTTCTAATTTCCGTTTCCCGACTTCTTTCTCGTCTGTCTCCGGCCGGTGGAAGAGCAGCCTCAACTAAATTACTTGCATCATTCTCATCTCCACTTTCATCACTTTCACAAGCGTTACTTTTATTATCAGGACCTTGAGTAATATCCCGATGATATACTGACGATGATGATGGTGATGAAGATGAAGTGGTTGAAGGAACCATTTCATTGCGTTGACAGCGTTTAGAGTGTGCTCTAAATATTGTACCAGCAGGAACAATTTCAGACTTATCACTATTCCCAGCATTACTATAAACTCTGGCTAATTCACGACATTCGCAAGGTACAAATGGAGTTGTTCTTTCTGTATTCTCCCTCCAGACTTGAATATCTGTGTTCACTGAGCCTTTTGCATCGTCAACCAAAGAACCATCAAGCTCCATCATGCCTAGGACATCACATCGCATGATATCGCAGTAATTTGCCAAGCATACGGCATCCTCTGCCTAAAATAATTATAATAATTGTCTTAACAATCACACGAACATAATAATTTATCAAAAAGTTATCTATCTAAAAACACACCATATTAACATTACTCCTGTGTCTGCTATCGAAGTGAGCATCTAAATGTTTCTCGGCATAAAAAGACTTGCCACAAATTCCACAAGTCCACTGTGATGTTCTGTGTTGAATTTTGGCCATTTGTTGCGGATAAAAAATATCTCGACTCTCGTGGAAAGGACATTCTAGGGGCAGCTCCACCTGATACTTCTTCAAAATTGGTATCCATCTCTAAAACATACCACAACTTTTTATTGTCTTCTTAACACTAATATTAAAATAAATGATCTACCTTTTGTACAATACGCCGGACCATTGATGCACGATCCCGGGGGCATGATATTTTAAATACAGAAGGTCCTGGCCAAGGAATAACAGATAGCAGTAGCACCACCACAATCTACACAAGATCATGAGTCAAATAAGAGTTTTAAATATAATCAATATTCTTTAATATTTCTACTATGCTATTTGTGGGTCATTTATTTTTTTTTATATAAATTTTCATTGATTTAGAAATAGTAATAATCAAGAGCGCATAGCTTGTGCAATAATTATGTACTAGGTAATTACCTCGAAGTAACAAAATTTGGTCTTCATTCATAGCCTTATATCTTCAGAGACTTGATGATTGGCTCTTTGACGACGACGATGGTGATAACAATAGTTTTGTTCGTGGTTAATCTTTGATCATGTATCTCATATATCTGTGTGCGCACGCGTTATATTAATGTGGTAGTATTCACAAGAGGGTTGTTTCTATCCACGAATAATGGGGTTGGTGTCAATGAGGTTGCGCAATCGCAATCAACAAATAAAAATTACAACATAAGTAATGGAGAAATACAAACTAGGAATAAAATGCAATTGCTAATGTTTTCTTATTTTAAAATAAAAAAATCCATGTAGTATGTTTGTGATCAACCTTTATTAAGAAATATGCACATTTCAATATTAATTATCAACGGATATTCAGCATCTCAACAAAGATGATGATATTGCGGTGTCCGCTTCCCTGTATTATAGATTCTAATAATTTTTATATTAGATATAAGACAAAGGAAAAAGACACATCAAAGAAACAAGTATTTGAATGTTTCTTACATTTTATGATGTCGTCTATACACACATAAATCGTTCTTTCTTATTAAAATAACATTATTTTGGATATTTACTCTCCTTAATTGGCTGTTTTCAAATTATTTATTTATAGAGAAATTCAATATAATTGAAAAACTTTAAGGTGACTTTAATTAATGTACACCTTTAAATCTGTATAACAGTCAATATCCACAGTGTATAATATTTATTCGTAAAATTATTACGAGTCATCATTATTTTTTGTAAGTGTGTAGAGCCGACTAGATAGTACAATAAAAAATTGAACGGCCGCTACATGAAGTCATCATACTCATTATCATATCCGTAAGTATCGTATTCGCTAAGATGGCTATTTTCTCCCTCAATTTTGAGCTTAGCTTTGCCTTTACCTTTACTCTTTTTGCCTTTATCACCCTTTTCAAGTTTTTGCTTTTCGATTGCTAAATTATTGATTGTCGTTCCTAGTTTTTTTAAGCTTGTTGATGGTACTGAAAATTGAAGATAAAAATTAGTTTTCATTGATGTTTATAGGATGATTGGAAAAAAAAATTAATAATCAATAATTACTTACAATTTACTGCTATGCGGCTTATTAAATCTTCGGCGAATGCTGGATATTCTGTGTGCTTGCTGAATTGATTGATCTTTTGCAATAAGGATTCTCCGAAGCTTTCGAATTCTTCTTTCGTATCTGGCATCATTGCATCAATAGCTGTGACACCTTGAATTGATGATAATAATCATTAGCATTCTTTGTAAATAATAATAGTTTTTTTGTATATTTTTTTTTTTTTATAAATTTTTGTAATGATATTTAATTTTTTATTGTATTGATCAGGAACAGTACGGGATAGATTGATTATGAACGCAAGAAAAAGAGGTAAAGTACGAAAAAATTCATTTGTACACATTGTATTTCAATTGAGATAAAATTAGATTTTTATTACAATTACAGTAACACAGTTTATTATTAATTGTTAAATTTATCCACTGGAAAATGACAATAAAATTTCCCTTGACTTTGAGTATCATCTATCGTTAGTACAGTTCCTGATATTTTAATACTTATTTTATATGTTTAAATTTTAATTATGATCATTATTTCTGTATTAAAATTTTTTTGACAAAGCAATTCATTTCATTTTAATTTGTCTACAATTATTTAAAAAAATTTTATTACTCAGTCTATTTGCAAAAAAATCTATTTGACTTCCTTTGATTGTAATACTGCCTTATCATCTTCTTTTTAACCATTCAATGCTTTTTATTTAAAACAAGCACATGTTATTCTCAATAAAAATATTTGATCATTATTAAGCGCAAATGTAGTTTCATTAATATTATTAACTGTTTTAATGATTAGTATCAAACAAAGTTTCGTGCCTCAAACAGTATTTATAGCTTTAAAATTCATCTTAACATGTAAAACCTATACGAATTGATAAAATAAAATTTTTTATTTAAAAATGGCATTTGCGCGCTTCGGCTTTACGAATAAACATTGCTTTTAATTTGAAATTATTTAATTTTTATCACTCGTTAATGCTTTTGAAATTTAATCTATTTTTTACTAGTTTTTTGGGGTTTACGGGGACTAAAGTCTACAAGAGTCGACAAACCGAATGTTTCCATAGCTAGTCGAAGATCAGCTTCCTCGGCCATTTTTTGTCGTCTTAGTTGTTCCGCTCTCCTCTCTTCAGGAGTCATTGCTTCTTCTTTTTCCTTAGCCTTTCTCTCAGCTTCTTCACGAGCCTTCCTCTGTAATTAAAGATAATAACAAAAATTCATAATAATGAATTTATCAATTTATTTTTTTAATTATGGAAGACATAAAACTTACTTCTTTCTCTTCAATTTTCTCAGCTACTTTCTTTTTGGGTTTAGGTTTTGCTTTTGGTGCTTCAGCGGGTTTCTCAACATCTTTCTTTTCTTCTTCTTCATCTACATCTTCCCAACTCTCCTATTTTAACAAAATATGAGTGTAAAAATAAATTATTCTTTTTAACATGTTTTTAATTGTAAAGATAATGTAATCGTTCCTTTTTTTTTTATTAATAAATTAATAATTAATTTTTGAAAATTTGAATTAATTTTATTTTTTTTGGTGTAGAAAATATTTTTGACATGCAATTAGATATTTTTAAAGACAGAAAATATAATAATAACAGAAGAATTATTCGAAAATGCTCCCGCCTTCAAATTAGATCACATATGTTCTGACTCATTCTCAGATCAGTATTAAAAAATTTTCTGTTATTCTAGATCATTCGTAATTTTACTACTTTTGATAATATTTATCACCAGAAAGAAATGAAAAGCATGACAAGCACATGCTCAAGAAAGGTTAAACTCTGAAAAATACGTCATTATGTGGCAATATACATTCAATTGAAGCGAACGCATTATTTTCACACCTTGACATCTTCTTCTTCATCCTCTCCCTCCCACTTGTTTGAACGTAAAGCCATTTCCAGCCTGGCATCAATCCTATCAGCATCTACAAGAATATTAACTTGTTTCGTCATTTATGATTTATCTGGCATTTCAATATGCTCACGAAACGTATGAAAAATATATCTATTTAATGATAGATGACTTACCCCACGCGTCATCCATACTTTGGATTAAATAAACTATATTAAACTATTTTAAACGAACAAATAATGCACAAAACATTCATTCAATTGTCTTTTTAGACCGTTGACTAATAACTTGAATCCCGTTTTTTCAATACCACTTTAAGATCGCCTCGTGTTCACCATAAAGCAGACAGGCGAGGTAGCCTTCCGAAGTTGTATGTAGTTTTTCAAGTACTCACTGTGGCGTTTAATCGAAATAAGTTGCTCGAGAAAAGTCATGCATAAAACTGTCGAAATCATAATCGATATATCGATAGGTGAATATTTACGCGCGACTTTCAAAATTCCGTATTGAACACCAATTTACCAACCTCCAACAAAGAACAAACATCTTTAAATTCATAAATGATCATCTGGTTTACTAATCTATAAAGAAATGGACTTAAAAATTTCAAAAAACCGAAGAATCGAAAATGAATATACAAAATAGAAATTGACAGAAAATTTTTTGTTAGCTGTGACCCATGTTTAAATAATGAATGAATAAAAAATGATGAGACTATTAATCATAATAATGGTATTAATATTAATATATGAAATTAAACTATTTTGATCATTTAATTAGATAATTTCAATATTTTATAATAATTAAAATCCATGCCGTAAATGAAACACAATTCAGAATAATTTACTTGTTATAGTGTTAAGAGATCAAATTTTTTAACAGATAAACTAGTTTTACGTTTTTGAACTTTAAAAGAAATTGAATAAAACTGATAGCGTAAACAATTGTGTTAACTTATGTGTTAATCCATAAATTTTTATTAATTCCTCATTAGGAAGTTATTGTAATGAGGTCGATTTTTGAAATTTGTAATTGTCTTCAAAATTATATCTCTATATTTTTAGACATTTAAAAGCATATTAGATGGTTTAAAAATGGATGTATGTAATATCTCGAAAACTACTGAAAATATTGACTCTAGAGAAATTGTATTTGAAAAATAATACAAAGAAGATGATCTAAAAGGAGTATAAACAAATTGTTTTTTTATGACAAAAAAAGTTTAACATAAGTTGAGTACCCGGGGGAAAAAAATAGATCGACACAGATTCACATTTACATGGATACCTTTTGAGGCAACGAATGCAAAAAACTTATTAATTATATTTTAATTTAAACAACAGTTAAAAATCTATTCAAAAAAAACATTCATATTAAAGTTGAAAGAAATAATTAAATTGATATTTGTATGAGAAATAGATATTAACGTCCTCTTGCATTGATCGATACGTTGCCGTCTGTTGAAAATGTAATGAATAATCGTGAAGTGTCTGTACAACTTGTATTTGTATGATACGAGGTTTCAGTTGCTTCTTCAAAGAATTATTATATTATCATATTATTAAATTCAATTAGTAGATCAATATACAGTAACAATAAGGAGCTATTTTCTAGATTATTGCAAATCAATTGAAGGTACTGTCATTCATTACATACATATTATAATTAATTTTTTTGAACTACTACTAACCTATTGTTAAAAATGAAATACATATAAAGTACATTATGTACTATTATTCTTATTCTATTCTGATTAGTAATGTAATTATCATTTGTATTCTAGATGATTAGAAACATCAATTTGTTTGTACGATCAATATCAAGATTTGGCATTAAAAGGCAAAACTACAGCAATGATTCAAGTAAAAAAGATCTTGTAGATAAATATATTATAATCAATGAAGATATGGTTGTTTGCTGGCATCCAGAGCCAAAATTTCCTTATGAATGTTCTAAACCATTACCTCTGAAACAACCAGAACCAAAATCTGTGTTGAAGATGCCTTTAGAAAAAACACACAAAATTTTTTCTCCACCAACATACTCTTCAGAAGAACGCGGGCTAAATGCTGAAGAATTAGCTAAATTAACATATACAACTAAACATCGGTGGTTTCCAAGAGCCAGAGATAAGAGATCAAAGAAAACTAAACCTGATAGAACTTATCTATAGGAAAATAAATTGATATGAAAATATTTGTAAAATTTTTAGTATATTTTATTATTTTAACACATTAATAATACACTTTTTTCAGTCTTTAATTAATATTACATTATTCACATATATGTATTTTGATTTATAAATATTTACTTTCATTATTTTTTTTCACTTTCATGAAACATTGTATAAGATGTATAATTTTTTTTGTTTGGATAAGAAGTACGCGGAAGAAACAAAAGAAAAGAAAATTTATGACCTTTTTTATCAGTTTTGATACAGCAAAATATTTAATATCTTGGTTCCATTTATAATAAACTTTCGACTATAGATATTTAAGAAAGCTGTACAAGTATTCGAATTATTATCATAGCTCATTGCACTTTGTCACCATTTTTATCATAATAATCTTTTACTAATCTAAAAGATACTCCTAGGAAATAATTGTCTTTCGCCTTCAAACATAAATATTTCCATAGCTTTGTAAAGGAGATATTTTCCAAGATGTCGTTTTTCTTGAGTATCCATTGTTGAAAGAATTCCGTAGTAATTTCCTCGGCTACAATTGCTTAAATGATTTGTTCCCAATGCATCAATCATTGCAGCTTCCCGAGTGAATGCTTCTTCTTGCATAGTATTCATAAAAACATGGAGACACACGACACCTCTTCCTTCATGCCATATACTAATGATTCTTTGAATTTTTTCACTCGGTTCATCAATTTGTTTTTTTCCTGTCCATATATCAAATGCATCATAGAGATGTGCTGCAGGTCTCGTAGCTTTACCTTTTCCTACGTAAAATATAGCTTCAAGAAACCTTTTCCAACGATCATTCAAACTTAAATTACGCCCACTACGAGGTAAATCCTTGGTTATTCTTGGATCCAAAAGTAGATAATTAAACGATATTTTTCCTAGACCACCACGATACTTTTTAGAAGAGTTTGGTTTTTCGTATTCACTGAACACTTGATCTTCTAAATTTTGATAATATGTTATATCACTCATCCAATCAGTCTTTAGTACAGTAGTTGGTATTTTACAAATTCTAGTTTCATTATAAGAGTTTTCTACCAATAAACCAGTATTTAAATCTTTTTGCTGTAATTTTCGAAGACGTTTAAGGTAAACATTATAAGTTGTATGAGTTATTGGGCCTGGTATTTCTCCTAGAGATATCAATTTATTCCGAAGAGTATTATTACTTATTATGTTTGTTTCAAGTTTGCTGGACTGTTTAGAAGAAATTGCACATGAGTTAATCGATAACTCAGCTATAAAATAATTTTAATAGTATTAATAATAATAAATCAACAAAATTGCATCGAAAGATTAAAAAAACTTATTTCAATTAATTTACCAAGTTGATCAAGCCACGTAGATTCATGCTTGACATTGTCCATGTCTTCTAGGATACTGAAAAAAAATATGTCATTATTAGATTTCTGACAGCTGCTAATGCAGTCGTTATCTAGAATCCGATAACATAATATAAAAATAACTATTCTATACTCTATGCAATAGTTACGGAATTTTTTGTTATGCAATTATGTGCAACTACTTACGGAATAACTCTTAGTCGTCGTTCCAAAAAAGCAACATTTTTTTCAGCATCTATATAAGTATATTCTTCGTCAACACTTACAAAGGACTCGTTACTAAATGTAGAGCTGTAAAAATCAAATCAGTTATATTAGTAAATTATGTGTAATTAGTGGTAATTAAAATATAATTAATGACAAACCTTATAATAGATCTCATTGGAGTTCGGAAAGTTTCAGAATCTGAATCATAAATTCGTTCAGTCTTTAATTTTGTATAAATTTCTTGTTTATCCGTATAAAAGTTAATTGTACTTTGTTTTAAGTTATTTGAATTATCTACTTTTTGACAATCGAAAAATTCTTCTGTGCTATTAGAAGATTCCTTTAGAATTTCTAAACTTGTAGAAGGTTCGCTATCAAAATTAGAAACTGATGCTGGAGGAGTTTGATCCTTAGTTTCATAAATCTCTTGGGCTTCATCATGTAATTTTATTTCTTCTTCTGTTTCTAAACTACCTTTGCAAGAAGAATTCATTGATATTGGATTAGACGAGCCTGGACTTTGAAGAAGACATTTACAGTATTCAGTTTTCAAAGAAATGAGTTTGATTGGTTGCGGTTGTATATTTTTATTCTTTTTCGGAGTTTTAGATATTTTTAATTTCTCAGCAGGTTCAACTGTAATCATTTGACATGTTTTACTAACAGGACTATTGGAAGAATCTATTTTCTGAATCCTCATGATGGTATTCGTAGTAGATTTATTATCCGGTTTTTTTGAGTTTTTATTGGCAAGTTGACGATTTATCTGAATTGATTTAATTTTTAATTTTTTATTATTCATTGAATGCATATTATGCCCATAATCTTCATTATCTGAATCATGTAATTTTCTTGCTACATTTGTAATTCTTTTAGCAGTCATTTTATAATTTCTTTTATCTTGAGAAATATACGGTATATCATATTCACTTTCACTATACGTTTGATGAATTAAGTTTTGAATTTTATAACTATTCAGATTAATTTTATGGGTAGATTTTTCAATTGGTCTATTATGTATTCGATGTAGTCGTCTTCTTGGAGTAGAACTTGCACTTTTTAATACCGGTGGAGAAGATGATCTTGATGAAGAACTGCTAAAAGTTTTCAATTTTAAATTTCTATTTTTTAATGTTGTAAATTTGTTACTGTTCAAAGAGGGTGGAGTTTTTCGTTTATTTAGTCTTGAAATAGATATTTGAAAATTAGGAGATCTGCTAACAATTGATGTATCCAAAATCTTTGATGGTATCGTTTCCTTCTTTTTCATACATTTTAAATTATTTTTATAAATTTTAGGCTGAGGAATAAGACTAGGAAATTTTTTATTAGTATCTTTTGAAATATTATCTTTAATATGGTCTCGTTCATTAATTTTCTTGAATGATGTTGAAAGTTTTCGAATAATTTTTCCAACCAAAACTTTTTCTTCATTTTCATTTCGATTTTTACTATCAAAGTTAAACTTATCACTTTCGGATAGTATTGGAGATATAGCGTGAGATTTTTTTTCAGGTTCTCTTCTTGGTCTTCGCATCGTAATGTTATCACTATTTATTTTGATATTATCATCCAGTAAAACCGCATTATTTTCTGAAACTGGTGATGATCTAGATGAGCTTGACCTATATTCGATTTCAAAAAATTTTCTTGTATTGTCTAAATTTGTATTTTCTTTATCTTCGCTCGTCAAAGTATTATTACTTCTTTCACGATCAGAAGGAACGTATTCAGCAATTATATTTCCTCGATTTATTAAAATTTTTTCAAGTTTTATTTCAATTTTCGGTTTTATATCATTGATGTTATCACTATCATAATCTTCTCCATCATCATCTTGGTTTTTAACACAATATTTTCCAAGTACTGTTATAGCATCATAGTAAGATCCATCGAATGCATAATGAAATGGTGTACGTCCATCATCATCAACACATAAAGGATCCCCACCATTAGCTAATAAAAGTTCTAAAACTTTAACTCGTCCCCATGCAGCAGCTACATGTACAGGAGTCATTCCATCAACAGCTTTTACATTAGGATTTCCTCCATAGCGAAGAAATAACTTGGTTACTTCTTCTGCAAATCTTTCAGATTGATTACCGATGACCAGATGAAATGGCGAAATACCATAGGAAGGAATTAATACATTAGGATCAGCCTCTTTACTTTTTAAAAGCGTTGTCACTTGTCTTATATTATTATCTTCCAATCCATCACGAAGAGATGATGCTAGGAACAATTCACTCTTGCTTTTTGGAGTCGACAACATTATCTTGGAAAAATGATAAAATTATCCACTTTTAATATAATTTTTCTTCATCTATTTAAGATAAAGTTCCTTATTAATTATACTGATAAATTGTGTAAATACTTTCAATCTCTGTTTATACCCATTGTAATAATTTAAAAATTGTTATGATTGTCGTCAATTGTTAATGTTAAGGTATTCATTGATTTATTGAATAAAATAATCAAATATAAACATTTTACAACATAATAATTACCAATTCTCTTTAGAGATAGAGCTGTCACATATAAATAAATTATTTATCACAATAGAAATAATTCACAAAATTTATTACCAATAATTTTTTGGAAAAAATGATAAAATTTCAAAATAATTGTATTAACGAAAAATACTACTAAGCATAGAAAATAGAATAAAGAAAGCCAATCTTATGGACGTATAAAACAAGAGTCAACAACTTAGAAAAAAAACACGAGATGGCGAAGCCCGTATCATAAAATCGCGGGTTTTTT